ACATGCTTGGCCCATTGCTTGAGCTCCTTCTCTGACATATCTTGAAGGCGTCCTTCCATCTTGCAAAGCAACTGCGCCTGACGCACCTGATCTGGCCATCGGTTCCACTCCGTGATACCTTCGGCCACGGCCTTCAAGAGGTTGTTCGTCCAGGTCGCCAAAGTTCCTTGCTCAACATCAGGGTCTGTAATGTGATTGACAAAGTTCATGTTGGTGGCTGCATGGAACACTTGACCCTGGCCTGCACCCAAGCACACATGTGAAAGCTGGTACTCATCACGGAAACTCCTCCATTCACCTGAATTCCACCAGGGCTTGCTTCCAGGGTACTCCATGAAGAGGAAGGGCTTCTTGAAGCGGTGTACATCCGCTCCCTTCTCAGCAACCATCCAGGTGTACATCAGCTTCTGCCTGAGCTCATCATCGCCACTCCTTGGTGGGCCTCCCAAGATGCCCTCAATCTGTCCCCGACACCCGGCCCAAAGCAGGGCACGAAGGATATTGTTCCAGCCCTTCATGTTGTACATCTTGGAGCGCTGCCAGTCGATTTCCAGAACCGAAACATTCTCAGTTTCAAACTTCTTGAGCTCCTTAGTCGCTTGCTCATTCTTGCCATCATAGAGGTGCACCAACCAACGCGTTCCATGAAGTCTTCTTCGGGCCTTCCGATTGACCGGGAGGGACTTCAAGTAGTTGTAGCCCGAATCATCGCCCAGATCAATGTCCGCAGGGCCCACAAAGTTGAACCTTTGGGTAGCGGTCTCCACGTTGATCGGGAAATCCTGGTCCATCATATAGCAGCCAAGGCGCTGCTCCTTTTCCCCGTCGTAACATACACCTCCAGGTTGGAGTCCCAAGAAAGAGAGGCCGAGGTAGAAGCCGACGTCCACAAACTTTGAATTGTGGTTTGCTGCAATCGTTCCAGGTTCTTGTTTTCGATTTCCGATATCAGCTTCAACGCCTCGAGCTCCGAGATGTATGGACAGCTTCCCTTCATCTTCACCTGCAACTCGCCGTGAACCGGATGGCTCACCTTCAGTCCTTGTCGCTTTGACCAGCTTATCGAGCAGCCGAGTTGTTGCACCAGCGCCCCTAAGGGCACTATCGGTGCCTGAGTGCTGCCATCTTCCGCCTTGAGGAGCGTTCTGGTACTGGTCTGCTTGAGCCTCACTGTTTGCCCGTCTGCAAGTTCGACTCCAACATTGTTCGCTTGCTCAAACTCATTGACGTTCGTTGCACTTCGAAACGGGTGTGAGGCCCCTGAATCCAAAAGGGCCAATCCATGTTGGTCCACTCCAGCAGACCTCAGAAGTAGCTCCAAGTGTTCGGCGGCCTGGTTGGTCTCGTCCACCTTCATCGTCATCAACTGGATCTTGCTCAGCATTGAGCTCGCCTCACGAAGCAAGTTCTCCATCTCTTCCCTTTGGGCTGTTGCGTCATCAGCACTTGATGTTGTAGTAGATGACGAAGTGGTTGCCTCCATTTGCGCCTGACTTCCAGACGTAAGGGTTTCACCAGCTGGTGGTTGCACCTGGGCCGCACTAGCTGTAGCCGTCGAGGTGGAAGTAGTCGATGAAGTAGTCGGCTTTCCAGCTGGCTTGCCACTCCCTTTTCCTCCTCCATTCACTGTCGGGCACTCCTGTTGGCGGTGCCCCGTGGCTCCACAGGACCAGCACCGCTGCTTTCGATCAGCCTTGGAGGCAAACTCATGGGCGTAGGTACAGCTTGTTCCCCTTTTGCAACCACTCTCAGACTGGAAGAACTTGCAAGGGTTCTTCCCTTTCTTTGGGGACCCGCTTGGGGTTCCTGAGCCCCCCGTTCCTTGACCCGTACTGGTAGTCGTTGTCGCTCCCTTCAACTTGGCGTTGTCCCCCTTGGTGTTTGGCGTTGCCTGTTGTAGCTCAGCCAAAAGATGCTGGTAGTACTTGAGGACGGTCTCGGCTGTCGGGGTTGATGCCAATCGCAACTCATTCTTTGCCAAGGCCAAGCGAAACTTTGTCTCCGGCAGCTTCTCCAGCACCTTCGAAGTGATGACCTCCAGTCCCTTGAGCTGCAAGCTTGCATCTGGAAGCGCGATTTCCATTTCTTCAGCCCTTGCCAAATGCCTTCGCCATCGTCGTAGTTGAGCAACAACTTCTCCAGGATCGTCGGGGCCGGCAACGCCTTCTAGGTGCTTCAAGATGGCCGTTCGTTCCAGGGTTCCCCCTGGTTGGTAAATAACGTGAAGCCTGTAGAGGACGCCGGCCACCGTCTCAATGCGGTGGGTGATTGTATCCTCCTTGACCGCCTTCGGCATCGCGCCTAAAAGGAGCGAGAGGACACGACGCTCCAGTCGAAACCACTTCGGGTCCTTGAGGAAATCGGTAAGGGCCGGGGTGACATTGAGTCTCTCAAGAGCAGACGCGGTCTGGTACCTGACGTAGGCTTCTCGCGCACACTGCAAACATTGGCCAAACCATGCACTGGCATTGTCTGTCAAGGCCCCCAACATCTGCTCAGTCACATACATCCAATCATTGAACTCCACGGCCGCGTCACCTGGCTCCGGCATCTTCTGAAGTTCAACGCTTCCTTTCATCGCCTCTGGCTCCACATGGTCTTTCTTGTTCATCTGGAGCTGCTGCAACTGTCGCATTCCCTGCACAAGCAAGTGCAGGTGGTCCACCATGGCATTGTCCTCTCCAACCGCGGCCCCAGTGCTAGGTCCTTCACCTTCTTCATGAGGGATTCCTCCACCATCGCCACTTGCACCATGTAGTCCAGTCTGGGATTCGTGAACAGCACGCTTGCTATCACCCCCATAAGGATTGCCACCAGGTACAGGAGATTGTGCCGAAAGTCCAGCGGGAGGCAAAAGGCGATCTGCATGCCCATGCCTTCCAGCCGTCTGCTGCCCCCCAGAACCTGTGTGCCCTTCACCATCTTCGCGTGCAAGGGGTTCACCACCAGGTACTGAAGATTGTGCCGAAAGTCCAGCGGGAAGTAAAAGGCGATCTGCACGCCCGTGCTCTCCAGCCGGCTGTTCGGAGATCCTTTGCAAACCCGGGGGTGCTCCAAAGGCTCCTCGGCCAAGAAGTTCACCACCAGGTACTGGAGATTGTGCAGAAAGTCCAGGGGGAGGGCGGCCCGCATCAACAGCATCTTGACGTTCAAGGCCGGGATTGCCTCTTGGTTCACAGCCTCGAGGTCCAGCTCTTCCATCCATCAAGGCTCCACTGCCATGACCTCCACCTTCTCCACTGAACTCTCTTTCAGTTAGAGCCATAACAACTTGTCGTAGTTCTTGATTTTCGTCGTGGAGTCGCCTCATCTCAGATTCTCGCTCATCTAGGGCCGCCTTGACTTGTCTCTTCACCTCTTCCATGACAACCTCCTGCGAGATCGAACCATTGGAAGATTCCTCCGCAGGCCTTCTCGGAGCCGCCGTCAGCAAAGATGGGCGTGCTGTCCAGGACGTCATAGCCTGCCTCATCTCCTGGCTCATCAGCGGCACCGTTGGAGTTCCAGGCTGGGAGGGTTGAGAGTGCCAAACTGAATTTGGAGACCCCTCAGGCGACTGCATGCCACGTTCTCTTCCGGCCGTTTGAACCTGCTCGAGGACTGGGCCCACGACTCGTCGCTGAATCACCTCACTCATTCTCGTGAACCATGCCGGTCTCGTAGTGCCCCGTATCTCAGCTTCACCTTGCGGTACATGATGCTCATATACTGGTTCCACTTGTTGTACATGTACTTCCTGAACCAGTTCACGCCTCACTACAGACTCATGAGCTCTGCTTTGAACTGCATCTGCCAGAGCCTCAGGTGGTTGTAGGTCCATAGTAGCATCTTGTTGTCGCAACGCTTGAAGTTCATGAGGTACTACCCGAGGAGGAGGATTCGATGCTTCTGCTGTCTGCCGGGTTTGGGCTGCCGTTGTTGCTTGCTGAGGTGGTGGTGGCTGCTGGAGCTGCTGTGGGGCTCGTGGATGTTCTTGCTGCTGACCTCCTAAACCCGAACCATCCCTGTCGGTAGTTCTCGTCGCGCCCGGTCCGGTTGTTTCAACATCCGCACGCTCAGCAGTCGCTCTCTCAGCACTTTCCGAAGCCCTTTGCCTAACTCCAGCATTCTGAAGTCTCAACGGAACCCCATTCGGCAACGCAGACGTTCGATCTCCGCCTTGGTCACCAGCCGCGCCGTACGATGGTCCTGCCACCTCGCCCTCCAGAATGCTGGACCTTCCAGCCTGTCTTGGTTCCTCTTGGCGAGATTGGGCGCTCATAACCTGTTTATGGTCTGAGGCTCCAGAGGGTCTTATGCAGCGCAGGCCATCAAAGTTAAACGGCTTGTTTTCTACACTCACAACGAAACGTGCGATGCTTCCAGCGTTTGCTAAAGCTCAGTTCGAAGCTAAAGCTCTGTGCGCAGCAATGCTTACATATGCAAGTGCAACGTGTGTCATGCACGCCCTACTTTAGAGCTGCACACCTGCGACAAGCATTTCAACAGAAACCTATCATACCTATCTAAGAGTAACACCACCGAACGAAAAAATAAGTGTAACGATCGCCATGGAGCTAAGCCATGGGTAGGCGCCTTAGGGCAATGCTCAGGGATGATCTCTTTTTCAATGGTTTGGCTGCAGGGGTCTACAGTTACATGCAACTTGTAGGTCTTTTGCCACAGCTTCGGGCGCACATCCTAAACTCGTAAGGAATGATAAGACCAGTTGTTGTAGGGCCAGCGGTTTATATGGCTTTTGCAGGGTTCACCACGGGGTCCGTAAAGGTTTTAGGAGGACTGCAACGAGGTGGACGTTTTCAAGTAGACTACCGAGAGGCATTCAGCCCTGAGACTGAAATCTTCAAACCCCTGAGCCCTAAAGTTCCCGTGGGTCCCTGAATCATGAGCCCCAGACCGTTAGTCCTTTTTCTTTGAACTCCGAAGTCTCTACTCCAAACCCCGAGTCCCAAAGCTGAAACCATGACCCTGAACCCTAAGCCCTAAGCTTCAAACCTAAGGCCTTGGGCGGTGGCGCGGCCGTGAACTTGCTAGCCGCGACCTTGGAATTCGGGTTTGGCGGCTGTGGCGCTTCAAGACAGGGGCTTGAGCTTCAGAATTTTAGTAAGGCGTATACCATCACCCCACTCCGGGGGCCTCCCCGAGATCAACAAAACGAAGCAGGCAGCGAGCACGAGGGTTTCTTTGAATTAGGCTTCCTGATTTTAGGCTCCTCAGGAGCCAGCAGTATAAAAGCCAGAAGAATTACTAATAGTGTCGGCATCAAGTCCTGTGATATTTATCGTAATTTAGTGCCTTAGTTTGCTCAAAGCCGTGGTCGGGCTGAAAAAGGCAGGCTGTCAAGCCTTGTCGGGACTCGTCACTGTCTGCAATATCCGAAGAAGCAGAAGCGATGCTTGGAAGGACGTTAAAGCTAGTCCTCCTCCTCCTTTCCTCCTCCTCCTCCACCACCTCCTACAACGAGAGCTGCTCAGTACTACTCACTACTGCTGCTGCTACTACGACGACGACGACGACAACGACGACGACGACGACAACGACGACGACGACGACGACTACTACTACTACCACCAACGCTTACTCCTACGCTTACTCCTACTCCTACTCCTGCTCCTACTCCTACTCCTACTCCTACTTCTACTCCTACTACTACTGCTACTGCTACTGCTACTGCTGCTACTATGGCTACCACTGCCACCATTGCTACTCTGCCCACTGCCACTGCGACTACTACTGCTGCTGCTTCTGCTGCTGCTTCTACTACTGCTGCTACTGCTACTGCTGTCATTGCTGGTACTGCTGCTGCTACTGCTACATGTATTCAATGTATTCCTCGTCTCTGAGCCATGTGCGCCGCGAGTCGAACCAGAAGCGCGCTGTTTCCTCGGCTTCGCGAACTCGAGGTGTACGTATGAGCCGACAGCTGCTGCTCACGGTTCAGTGCTCATCCGCCGACTCACCCACCATTAGGAGGGAAACTCTTTCGGTAATTCGTTAGCATCGAAGTTGCGGATGTCTTCTCCAGCTCGTGCCCCAAGAAGGTATCGGTATCTTAGGGTTCCGATTTGTCAAAGCCCGCAACCTCGCCGCTGGAGCTGGCTGCTCCCGCGTTCTCTTCCCCCCGGCTTCCTCCTGCTGGTGCCCGGGCTGCTGGCTGGGGCGACCATTGCTGTTGGCACTGGGCTCAAGGGCTGCTTGCGCTTTGCTCCATGACTTGAAACATGGATTCCCTAGGCCAACAATGCTTTGCTGCTGGGTGCACACGATCTCCCAGCACAAGCGCTTGGGTGATTCGGTCATTGCATGATCCGGGTGGAATGCGCCGCTTACATTGGCGGCAAAAGGTTCGGCACGTCGTCCTCGAACTGCCTCTGCAGTCGGTCGCCTCGTGTTGGCAAGCGGCTGCGTCGTAAACATGCTCCAGTCTCTCCTAGAGCGTGTGGTGCAGTCGTGACATGTTTTGTGAAGATAGATCGTCGAAGCACCCTACGGCGGGTGCGCCCGCTCGTTTCTTCTTGGGGCCCCGTGGGCATCAGGTGTAGCGTGGTAGGTTCCTTGAAAGATTCACGCTGTTTACGCCCTGATTAATGATATAATGCTCATGTTTAGGAAATCTATTGGCTGGGTTGTTGGGGTTAGCTGCGGTTAGCTGGGCCAACGCCCGCGTGAAGTACTCAACCTTGCGGGCATTTCCTCGTAAGTGCTGCCTTCATGAGGCTCAGAGGTCCAGAGGCGAGCCGCCTGTCACTGGCTTGCATCTACATGCTAGATGCGGTTTGGGGCCATCTCTTTGGCCGAACGGCGGAAGCTCTTCCACCAAGCTGGCCGGTGGTGTCGCATCGTTTCCCGACGGCGCATAGATGCCTCTATCGTCGTCGTGCTCAGTGTCTATGCGTGCTAAGTGGGTGCGAGCTTTTGCTGGTCTGTTCACTTTTCTGGGAGGGCGAAAAATACACTCAGGATCCCCGGCTGCTACTACTACTACTACTACTACTACTACTAGTACTACTACCTACTCATACCCTACCTCTCCTCCTGCTCCTTCTCCTACTACTGCTACAGTTACTGCTACTGCTACTCCTGCTGCTCCTGCTCCTGCTCCTGCTGCTGCTGCTGCTGCTGCTGCTGTATGCAGCTGTATCACAAAATCCAGAAGCCCCTAACGTCGGTGCTGAGTTCAGCCGCGCCTTCGCCGGCGATGCCCGCAGCGGCGCTGTGCTGGCACAGCTGACGGAAAGGATGAGGCACAGAGAATCAGGTTTGGGGTTTAGGGGTCTCAATATTCGCACTTCAGGCTGACATTTTGTCTCGGGTTTTGCTTTAGGATGCAGGGTTTGCGCCTAAGGTCTTGGGATGTACTTACCCGCGAAACCTGCTGTGTGGAGCTGTGACCTTTCCGACTTGTGGCCGACCACGTGTCACGACTAATCGCTGGGCTGCCCTTTGAAATCTGAACACCTACCCTAAACCCTACTAAACACTAATCCCAAAGCCTAAGCCTAAGCCACGACCAGGTGTAGGGTTTAGGTGATGCAGAGGAGTACTGCTTTGTTCTACAGGTTCGGTGTTTGTGCGGTAGACGGTTCGGAGAAGAATCACGCCCTGCCTCAGGTTTTTCAGGATCATGATGCGGATTTTGGGAGCCATGCTGTGGACGGTCACTGTAGTTCCGCCCCGATACGCCGATGGTTTTGGTCCTTTGGGGTAAAACGGTTCGAAGTGAAAACCTTGAACCATCATTCTAAAGGCGAGAAGGAAGCCTAGCTGACAACGAATTTCAAGCTGCGGCGCCAAGGCAGATCTTCAAGTTGGGGTTCCCTTCCTCTTGGAGGTCCTTACTGCATGAACGGATCCGACTGGTTGATATATCTAGATAACTTGCCATACATATAAAGAGAAAGAAATATATATATATATATATGTGTATACATGTATATATGTATATATGTATATATGTATATGTGTATATGTGTATATATATACACATACATACATACACACACATATATATACACATATGTATATATATATGTGTGTGTATGTATGTATGTATGTATGTATGTATGTATGTATGTATATGTATATGTATACATATGTATATATATATATATATATACATATATATATATGTATATAACACATATGCTATCTGCCAGTCTAAGGCCCACCCCAGAAGCCACATCGGTAGCACTTTCGCCTCCTGGAA